CAGCAGTGGCGGCCTGGCGGCGGGCATTACGGCGGCGGTGGCTGGCTGGCGGCGGCCTGACGGCGGCGAGCGGAAGCGGCGGCGCTGACTGGCGGCGCGCTGGCAGCCACCGGCGGCTGGCGGCAGCGGCGGCCCGGCGGCGGCGAGCAGCGGCGGCGGCGGCGGCGCTGGCGGCGGCGGCCTGGCTGACACAGCACAGCGGCAGCGGCTGTGGTGGCGGCCATGGCTGACGGCAACGGCGTGGCTGGCGTATCTGTGTGGCGGCCACACGGCCGCTGACTGGCAGCAGCCAGCCCGGCGGCGTAAAGCAACGTGGCTGGCGGTACAGCGTGTGTGGCCAGCGGCGGCTGTTGGCGGCAGCGGCGCGCCAGCGGCGGCTGACGGCGGCAACGTGACAGTATGAAAGGACTGTGGCGGCGGCGGCGGCCGGCGGCGGCGGCCCTCGTGGCTGATGTTGTGGTGACTGTGGCGGCGGCGGCGGCGCCTGGCTCGCGCGGCGGCGTGGCGGCTGACCATTACGGCTGGTGGCGGCAACGGCGGCTGACGGCTGTACGGCAGCCTGACGGCTGACTGAGGCGCGTGACGGCGGTTACCTGACGGCGGTATTCCGGTACCTGACGGCGGCGGCAGCCCAGCGGCGACGGTGGCCAGTACAGCAATGGCGGCGGCGGCGGCGTGGCGTGACGAGCGCGCGGCTTCGGCAGCCCGTGACCTGTTGACCGGCGGCGTGACCCCAGGCGGTGCGGCATACGGTAACCTGTTACCTTCGGCGTAGCCGCCTGGCCTGCCGGTGCGGGCGGTACGACTGGCGCGGCGGCGGCGCGGCGGCGGCGGCGGCTGGCGGCGCGCTGGCGGCGGCTGGCGGCGGTGTGTGGCGTGGCGGCGGCGGCGGCGGCCGGCAGACGTAACGGCGTGGCTGACGGCCTGGCTTCGGCGGCGGCTGTGCAGCGCTGGCGACGGCCTGTTCGGCTGACCGGCGGCGGCGGGCCCCATTTGTGACGTGCGACGGCGGCGGCGCTGGTGGCAGGCGCGGCCAGCGCGGTAGTGTTTGTGGCCAGTACGGCGGCTGACGTGGCGGCGGCGGCGGCTGACGGCTGGCGGCGGCGGCGGCGCGGCCGGCGGCGGCGGCATTGCGTGGCTGGCCAGGCGGTGGCGGCCTGGCGTGACGGCGATATTGTTGTTGTTGACGGCGTTGTCCGCTGACGTGGCTTCTGCTGGCTGGCTGACTGACGGCCCCAGCAATGACCCCAGGTGGCGGCGGCGTGTATTGAAAGCCCTTTGTTGATGACGTGGCGGCCTGTTCGTGACGGCGGCGGTGGCGGCGTGGCGGCGGCGGCGGCGTGGTGATGACCGCGCAGCGTAATGGCGTGCGGCGGGCGGTGGCGGCGGCGGCGGCGGCGGCGGCGGCGCTGGGCGGTGGCGCGGCCTGACGGCGGCTGAGGCCACGGCGGCGGCGGCCAGGCGTGACCGGCGGCTGTGTGGCGGCGGCTGACCCTGCCGGCGGCGGCGTGTTGACGGCGGCGGCGGCGGCGTGGCGCGGCGGCGGCGGCAGCTGTGGCGGTGACGCGCTTCGGCTGGTGGCGGCGGCGGCAATGATACCGCGGCGGCGGCGCGGCGGCTGGCGGCGCTGGCGGCAGCGTGAAATGTACAGCAGCGGCCGGCGGTAACGCTGGTAGCGGCGCGGCCCGGCGCTGTACAGCGAAGCGGCGCTGGCCAGCGCGGCTGGCAACTGGCTGGCGGCGAAGCTGGCTGGCGACGCCCGGCGGCCCTGGCGGCTGCTGTGGCGCGCCAGCTGTTACGGTGGCTGACGGGCGGCTGAGCGGGCGGGCGTGACGGTGGCGGCGGGCGGCCAGCGGCGGCGCGGTGGCGTGGCGGCTTCTATTCAGCGTTGTTTAACGGCGGCCAGCCGTACGTAACTGACGTGGCTGGCGCGGCGGCCTGGCGGCGCGCTGTGACTGGCCTGACGGTACTGACCGGCGGTGCTGACGGCTTCGCGGCGGCGGTATTGACGGCGGCTGACGTATTGACTGGCGTGGCCTGACGGTATTGTGGAAAGGCGGCGGCGGCGGGCGGTGGCGAAGGCGCGGCTGACGAGCGGTGGCGGCGTGGCGGCGTGACGGCGGCGGCAGGCGGCGGCGGCAGGCGGCGGCGTGCCACAGGCTGGCGGCCAGCTGTGGCGGCGGCGGCTGGGCGTGGCCGAAGCTGAGCTGACGCGTAGCCAGCCAGCTGACTGTGTGGCGGCGGCGGTAACGGCGGCGGCGGCGGCGGCGGCGTGGCGGCGGCGGCGCCAGCCGGCCTGACGTGACTGACGGCGGCTGGCCGCGCGCCCGTGGCGGCTGGCGGCGGCGGCGGCAGCGGCAGCGCGCGGCCCGACTGGCCAGCGGCGGGCGGCGGCGGCGGCTGGCCCGGCGGCAGCCCTTTATTGTGGCGGCGGCGGCGGCGGCAGCGGCGGCGGCGGCGGCGGCGGCGTGGCGGCGGCCGTGGCGGCGGCGTATGTGGCGGCCAGCGGCGAAGCGTGGCCTTGTGGCGTATTAACTAATGCGTAACCGTAACGCTGGCAGCAGCGCATGGCGCGCCTGCGCGTTGTGCGCATGGGCGGCGCGGCGGCGTACGGCGGCCGGCGGCGGCAGCGCGGCGGCGGCGGCGGCGGCGGCGGCGGCGGCACGGCCGGCAGCTGGCGGCGGCTGACCGGCCTGACGACTTCTGACCGGCGGCGTGGCGGCCCCGGCGGCAATTACGCTGGCCCAGCGTGACCTGATGGCGGCTTGTGTGTGTGGCGGCGGCGGTGGCGGTGGCGGCAACCGCCTGGCGTACATTGTGTTACGTACCGGTGGTGACGTACTACGGCGAAGCTATTCTGTTCTTACATACCCTGACGGTGTATTGCCTGGCGGCGGCGTGTGTACTGGCGTGTGGCAGCGGCAGCCAGCGGCGTGGCGTAATGGCGCTACGGCGGCGGCAGCAGCGTACAGCCTGACAACGGCAATAGCCAGCTGGCGGCCGTGGCAGCAGCAGCAGCAGCGGCAGCGGCGCGCTGTGTGTGTGCGCGCCGCGCCGTGCTGTGTACATGCGCTGCGCGTGGCGGCGTGGCCTGTGTGGCGGCGGCGGCGGCGGGCGGGCCGGCGGCGTGGTGGCGTGGTGGCGGCGGCGGCGGCGGCGGCGTGATGGCCCTGACGGCGCTGTTGTGGCGTGGCGTGGCATTGTTGTGGCCGGTGGCGTGGTATTGCGGGCTGACTGACGGTATGCCGCTGGCAGCGGCGGTGACGGGCGGCGGCGATACGAACCGAGCCCGCTGTGGCCGGCTGACGGCTGACGGCGGCGAAGCGTACGGCGGCAGCCGGCCCAGCGGCGCCTGTGTGGCGGGCGTGACGGCGGCGGCGGCTGACGTACCTTGTGCCAGCGGTGGCGGCAACACAGCCAGCGCGCCCAGCGGCAAGCGGCCCGGCAGCGCGCGCTGTGCTGGCGCGCGCGCGCGGCGCGCGGGCGCTGGGCGGCCCCCGGCGGCGGCAACAGCGCTGGCCTGACTGGCGAAGAAAGCGGCAGCGGCGGCGGCCTGACGCGGCCGTGACGGCGAAACGCAAGCGGCGGCACGGCAGCGGCGGCGCGGCGGCGCCTGCGCTGGCAGCGGCGTGGCGGCGGCGGCGCGGCGGCGGCGGCGGCGCGCGCCGCTGGCAGCAACGCTTGATAACAACGCGGCGGCGGCAGCTGACGAAGCAGCAGCCAGCGCTGGTGGCGCCGCCTTCGCCCGCCTGTATTGTGGCCCTTGTGTGCCTGGCAGCCTTGTGGCGTGGCGGTGACGCGTGGCGGTGACGGCGGCGTGGTGACCTTCCACGGCGGCGGCGGCGGCTGAAGCGCAGCTGACGGCCTTGTTGTTGACGGCTGACGGCAGCGGCGAACGCGTACCTGTTGGCGTGGCCGGCGGCGTACGGCAACGGCCTGTGGCGTCAGCGGCGGCGGTAACGGCGGCGGTGACGCCGCGGGCGGCGTGGCGGCGAGCCGGCCAGGCTGGCCATGCGAGGCGGTGGCGGCGGCGCGCCGCGTGGCGGCATGTGATACAGCGGCCGCGCTGCAGCGCCCGGCGTACCTGTGGCTGGCTTTGCGACTGCAACTGGCAGCGGTAGCGTACCGGCGGCAGCGGTGACGTAGCCGGCGGCGTGGCTGGCCGGTGTGCGGCAGCCGGCGGCGGGCGGCGGCGGCTGCGGCGTGACGGCGGCGGCGGTAATGACGGCCAGCGGCGGCGGCGGCAGTGGCGTGCCTGACGGCGGCGGCGGCGGCTGGCGCGGCGGCTGCAATGACGTGCAGCTGGCAGCGCATTGTGTGCGGCGCGCGTGATTGTGGCGGTGGCGGGCTTGTGCGCTGACGGTGACGGCTGGCGGCTGACCGGCGGCGGCGGCTGACGTGGCGGCGGCGGCGGCAGCGGCGGCGGGCGGTGCCCGGCGGCGGCGGCGCAATTACAATGGCGTGACTGTGGCTGACGGTGACGCTGGCTGACGGCGGCGTGGCCTGACGTGGCGCGCTGTTGACACGGCGGCTGACGCGGCGGCCGGCGGCGGCCTGATTGCGTGGCGGCAATGGCGGCGGCCGCCTGGTGACTGACTGTGGTACGCGGCCGCGGCGGTGGCGGCGGCGGCGGCGTGACGGTGACTGGCGCGAGCCTTCCGGCGGCCGGTGACGGCGGCCGGCGGCATTCCGACGGCGGGCGGCGTGACGGACGGCGCGTGACGGCGGCCTGATGCGGCGGCGGCGCCTTCTGTTGTGGCGTGCGGCGGTACACCCCCCCGTACAACGCAGCGGACCGGGCGTTGGCGGTGCAGCGCGGTACGAGGCTGATGGCGTTGACGGCCCTGACGGCGGCGGCGACCGCGGCGGCGGCCGGCGGGCGGTGGCGCTGGCTGGCGGCTGGGACGTGATGTTGGCGGTGTGGCGCGGCGGTAGCAGCGGCGGCGATTGTACGGGTGACGGCCGACGGGTGACGTTGACGTGACTGGCGGCTGGCCGACGGCCCCGCGGCGGCGGCGTGGCGGCGGCGGCGGCGGCGGCTGTTGGCGGCGGCCAGGCAGCCTGCGCAGCCCGGGCGTGGCGACGGCTGGCGGCGGGCGGCGGCGGCGCGTGTGTATTGTGTGACGGCGGTGGCGGCGGCGCGGCAACGCGTGACTGCGGCATTGTGGCGGCGGCTGACGCTGGCGCCTGCGGCGGCGGCGACTGTGCGGCCTGGCGGTGACGGCGCAGTGATGTGTTGTGTGAGCGGCGGCGGCGGCGCCCAGCGGTATGGCAACGTATTGCTGCGCCTGACGGCGGCTGCCGGTGATGGCGTATTGCGGCGCTGGCGTGTGTGTGACGTGCGGTGGGTGGCGCTGCGAGGCGGCCATTTTGGCGCTGACATTGATGACGGGACGGTGACTGGCGGTGACGACTGGCCCCGGCGCGCGCCGGCGGCGGTATGGCTGGCGGTAATGACGGCTGACTGACGATTTGGCCCGGTGACGCGCCGGCAGCAGCGAAGCGGGCGGCCCCGGCGGCAGCTGGTGGCCAGCCTTGTGTGTGTGACGATGGCGGTATTGTTGACTGACCGGCTGACCTGACCATTGTGTGACCTGCCGGCCAATGTTGGCGGTTGGGCCACGGCGGCGCGGCGAAGCCGGCGTGACCTGGCGTGGCGACATATTGTGGCGTAACGCGACTGTCGGCGGCTTTGGCGGCGGTAACCCGGCCTGTTACGGCCTGACGCAGCGGCGGGCGTGTGTGTGTGTTGTGGTATCGGCGTGACGGCGGCGTGACGGCCCCGGCTGACGACCGCGGCCTGCGGCGTGGCGGCGGCTGGTGGCTGACGCGTGATGACGGCGGCGACACTGACCCTGTTGACGCGGCGATAATGCGTGGCCAGTGGCTGGCAGCGGCGGCATAGTGTTGTGACAGGCGGCGGCGGCGATGACGGCGGCCGGCGACGCTGTTGTTCGATGACGGCGGCGGCGGTGACGTGGATGCCACGGCGGCTGACTGTTGGGCGGCCTGGCAGCAGGCGGCGGTGACAGCCGGTAGCTGGCGGCAATGTGTGTGTGACCTGTGGCGGCAATGACTGGCTGGTAAGCTGAGCCTGGCCTGGCTGGTGACGGTGTGTTGTGGTGTGTGCGGCGTTGACCCTGTGTGACGGTATTATTGGTGGCGGCGGCGAAGGCCGAGCGGGCGGTGGCGGCGGCGGGCGGCCAGCTTCGGCGGCGGGCCCTGGCAGCCAGCCAGCGGCGGCTGTGTTGGCGGACTGGCGGCAACGGCGTGGCTGGCGTGGCAGCAGCGGCAGTGGTGCGGTGGCGGCTGGCGGCGAGCGGCGGCCTAGCATGTGCGGCAGGCGCTGTTCCGCGCAATGACGGCGGCGGCGCGGTAGCTGCGCGCAGCCAGGCGGGCGTAGTGACGGCTGTGGCCCCTGACGCGCGCGCGTGACGGCGGCCTGGCGGACTGACTTGACGGCTGTTGGTGATGATGGCAAACATTGGTCCCATTTGTTTACATTATGTTATTGACGCTGACGGCTGGTGACGGTAGTGAGCCGGCGGTATTGGTTAACGGTGTTGCTGACGCGGCTGTATGTGGCTGGGCATGACCTGGACGGCAGCGAACGTTTGACGTGATGACGTTATTGAGGCTGACCGGTATTGACGGCCGTGACGAAGCCTTGTGTGACGTGACGCTGCGGCGAGCTGACGGTGGTGGTGGCCGGCGGCGTGGCTGACTGACGGTGACGCGGCGGCGATGACTGTTGTATTCTGCTGTGTGTGTGGCAGCGTGGCTGACGGACGCGCCGCGGCGGCTGGCAGGCGGCGGCTGACGGCGGCGGTACGGCGGCGAAACGGCGGCCTGACGGCGGCCGGCGGCGATGGCGGCGGCGGCGCGGCGGCGGCGGCGGTGACGGTGACGGCGCGGCAGACGGCGTGTTGCGGCCGGTGACGTGGCGGCAGCCTTCCCTGACGTGGCCTTGTTGTTGACAGCACGGCAGCGGCGGCCTTACGGCTGATGACTGACGGCGGCGAGCGGCGGCCTCCCCGCTGATATATATGGTGTTGTTGTGTGCTTATATGTCGGCCCTATCGGCCTATTAGCGGCGGCTGATGCGGTGACGCGGCATGACCGGCCCCGGTGTTGCAATAGTGACAGCGTGCTGGTATTTGTTGTTGTGACGGCGTGGTGGCGGCGGCTGACATGGCGGCTGGACGGCGTGACGCTGACTGGCGGCCCCGACTGACTTGACGGACGTGGTGACCCCGGCGTATTGACCGGTGGCGGCGGACAGTATTACGTGGCGGCGGCGGCGCGGCTGGACGGCGCGATCGCTGGTGACGGCGGCGGACGGCCTGACTGGCGCGGCGGTGACGGCGGCGGTTGACTCTGGCGGCGTGTTGCGGCCTGGTGGCGGTAACTGGCGGCTGGTGGCGGCGTAACCGCCGGCGGCGGCGGCGGCGGCGGCGGCCTGGCCCCGGCCTGTGGCGGTATGTGGCGTGTTGACGGCGGCGGCGGCTGAGCGGCGGCGGCAGGCGGTAGGCGGCGCGACGGCTGGCCTGTGTGTGTGCGAGCGGCGTGACGGCCGGTACGCTGACCGCGGTACGCTGGCCGGCGGTGGCGGCGGTGGCGGCGGTGACGGCGGTGGCGGACCGGCGGCGGCGTACGGCGGGCGGTGGCGGTATTGCGGCGGCGGCATTGCATGCGACGGCCCTCCCGCGGGCTGCGTGGCCCGGCGGCGGCGGCGTGACGGCGGCTGTTGTGTGTGTGTGGCGACGGCGGCGGCGGCGTGCTGCCGCGGCCCGGGCCGGCCCCGGCGAGCGGCGGGCTTCCCTGTGGCGGCGAAAGGCGGCGTGGTGGCGGCGGCGTGGCGCGGCGGCGGCCTGGTATGGTGTTGACGCTTATTTCCGACGGTATTGATGCGGTGACGGCGGCGGCCTGCGTGACGGTTGACGGTGACGTGACTGGCGGCGGCCAGCAATGTACGGCGACGATGACTGGCCGGTATTAGTGTTGGTGTCGGCGGTACGGCGGCAATGACGGGTGACCGACGGCCAGCGGCGGCTGCAGCCCAGCGGCTGACGGCTGCGGCGGCGAAGGCGGCGGCGGCGGCGGCGGCGGTGTACGTGACGTGGCGTGTGGCGGCGGCGGTGACGGCGGGCGCTGAGGCGACGTGGTATTACTGAAGGCGTGTGGTGACGTACGTGACGTTGGTATTCTTGTCGACGTGACGCGGCGGCGTTGTGTGTGGCGGCGGCGGCGGCGGTGACGTGCTGAGCCGGCGGCGGCTGTTGTTGGCACTATTAACAACGCCAGCGGCATTGGCGTGGCGTGGCGGCGTGACGTAGTTATGACGGCGGCGGCCGGCCTAGCGTGTGCGGCCGGCGTGACGTGTGAGCGGCCGGCGGTGCGTGGCGGCGCGGCGGTGAAGGCGGCGACGGTGACGGCAACTGTGACGTGTGCGGCGGCGGTGGCGGCGGCCTGACGTGTATTGTGACGAGCCCGCGACGGCATGGCGGCGGTGACGGCCGGCGGCGGCGGCGCGGCGGGCGGTGGGCGTGGTATTAACGCGTGACGCAGCCTGACGGCGGCAGCCGGCGGCGGCGGCGGCAGCGCGTGACGGCGGTAGCGGCGGCAGCGGCGGCGGTGCCGGCGGCGGCGGTGTGGCGGCGGCGGCGGCGGCGGCGGCGGCGGCGGCGGCGGCGGCTGCGGCGGCGGCGGCGGCGGCTGCGGCTGCGGCGGCGGGGCTGTTAATACCCCGGCGGCGGCGTGGCTGGCGGTTGGTGGCGGCGGGCGGATGCCACCGTACGGTGACGGCTGACCCCCACAGCCAGCGTTGTTGTTACGGCAGCGGCGCGGCGTGGTGGTGGCGTTGCCCGGTGATGTGGCGTGACAATACTGTTGACGCGGCGGCGTGAAGGCGGCGGCGGCGGCGCGCGGCGTGACGGCGGCGCGTGTGGCGGCGGGAGGCGTATGCGGTGTGTGTGTGACGGCGCGGCAACGCGCTTTATTGCCGACAGCTGTTGTTGACTGGCGGCGGGCGGCTTAAGGCCGGCGGTTCTTGACGCGGTGGTGCGTGACCGTGGTGGTGGCGGCGGCGGTGCGTGACGGCTGACTTCCTGACCGACACTGGCGGCGGCAGCGACTGACGTGGCGGCGGCGGCGGCGTGGTGGCGGGCGGCTGAGGAAGGCCGGCGCGGGCGGCACGGCGGTATTGTTGTTGTTGGTGTGTTGACGTGACGCTGGCTGTGACGTTGACGGCGGTGGTGGCTGGATGACCTGGTGGCGTACGGCGGCTGTTGGCGGCGGCGTGGCTGACCACAGGCCGTACAGCCTGATTATTGTTTGCGCAATGTGACGGTGGCTGCAGGCGGCGGCGGCAGCGGCGGCTATTTTGACCTGACGTGGCGGTGGCAGCGGTACGGCATTGTTGCTGACGGTATGACGGCTGGCGGCGGTATTGACCATGACGGCTGACGGCGTGTGTGACGGCGGCGGCGGTGACGGTGGCGGTACGGCCCTGATGTGGCGGCGGCAACGCGCGGCGGTAACGCTGACGGCCGGTGATGACTGCCGTGGTGGCGTGACCGGTTGTGGCGGCGGGCTGACCTGGCAACGGCAGCCCTGACGCGGTAATGCTGACGACGGCGCATGACCGTGGCGGCGGCGGCTGACTGTGGCGTGGCTGGCAACGCTGACCTGATGGCTGGCGGCTGACGCTATGCAGCGGCGGTATTTATTGTGTTGACCGTGGCGTGACTGGCGGATATTGACATTGTTACCGCCCTGACGGCCCCAATGACGGCTGTTATCGTATTGTGTGTGTTTATTGTTGCTTGTGTGATGGCTGTTGGCCGGCTGCGGCGGCTGGCGGCGTACGGTGGCGTGCGGTTGGCGAAAGCTGACGTGGCTGCCGGCGGCGGCTGGCGGCGGCGGCTGTGTGATGACCGATGACGGCGGCCGGTACCGTGACGGGCGTGTTCGCCAATGCTGTTGGTTACGGCCTGACGGTGACGGCGGCGGCGTACGCCTTCTGTGTGCTGACGGCGTGAGTTGATACGGTGGCCTGACCGCGGCGGCGTGGCTGGCGGCTGACGGCCTGACGCTCGCGGCAGCGACGCGCAGCAGCATGTGGCGGCTGTTGTGTGGCGTAGCGGCTGACGTTGTTGTGCGTCTGCGGCGACGTATGACGGCATTGTGTGTGGTATGGCGACTGGCGCTGCGCGGCGGCGGCTGGCTGGCAGCGGCGCGCGTGGCAGCGCGCGTGAAGCGGTGACGTGTGGCGTGGCGGCATTACGGCGTGGCGGCGGCGGGCGACTGGCGCCTGACGTGGCGGTGACGCGGCGGCGGCCGGCGGCGGCTGACTGACGGCTGGCGGCGGCGAGCGCTGCGGCGGCGGCGGTGACGCGCGCGCGACGGCGGCGCGGGCGGCGTGGTGCGGTAGCGGCGATGACGCCGGCGGCAGCGGCTGGCGGCGGCCCCGACTATTGGCCAGCGGCGGTGATGACCTTCTGTGTGGTGGGCGTGTGTGGTGACTGGTGTGTTGTGGTATTGTTGTTGTGTGGCGTTGTTGACTGGCGAGCGGTACGAGAATGACAATGACGTGTGTTGGTATTGTGGCGTGACGGCGGCGGTACGGTGACGGTGACGGCTATTTGACGGAAGGCGGCGGCGGCGGCCTGGCGTGGCGCTGACGGCGGTGGCGGCTTGTGTGTGTGACGCTGATGACGTGACGGTGCGTACGGTGACGGTGGCGGTGACTGACGGCCCCGACGTGTTGTTGTGGCGGCGGCGGCGGTGGTGACTGACGTTGTACGGCGGGCGTGACCGCGGCGGGCGGCGGCTGGCGGCGCTGTCGGCGCGGTGACGGCCTGATGACGACGGCGTATGACACCGGCGTGACTGGTAATTGTGGCGGCGGTGGGCGTGACGGTGACGCGTACGGCGTGACTGACGGTACGAAAACCTTCGTGTGTGTTTATTTTGTTGTTGTTGTGTGAAGCCTGATGGCCGGTGGCTGACGGTGGCGTACAGAGTACCGGTACGTGGCGGGCGGCTGGGCGGCGGCGGCGGGCGACGGCGGTGTGACGGCGGCGGTATTGTGGCCTTTGGTGGCGGTGTGCCCCAGTATTGTGACGTGTGGTACGTGTTGTGTTGGCGTACGTGGCGGCGCGGCGGCGTGACGTGGTGGTGACGGCGGCGGCGGCTGACGGCGGGCGGCGCCACGGCTGAGCTATACATGCAATAACGCATTATGACGCAAATATTGTGTGTGTGGCGGCAGCTAACTTCCCCTACAGTGACGGCCTGGCCGGGCGACCTGGCGGCGTGTGGCGTGGCGGTATTGTGGCGGTGTGGCGGCCATGTTGACGGCGGCGCGTACGGCGTGGCAGCGCGCGCGGCGGCGGCGTGTGTGTGACGTGTGTGACGCGCGGCTATTATGTGGTGGTGACCAGTGACTGGTGACGGTGACTGGCTATTCTGATGGTGACGGTATTGTGTGCTGGTGCGTTGACGATGTTGATGACCTGACCTGACGTGACCTGCCGGGCGGCGTGACGGCGGCGGCCGCTGACGGCGTGGTATTGTGGTGACGTATTGATGGTGACGGCGGCGGCGGTGGCGGTATTTGTTGATGACGACTGTGATGACTGACCGGTAATCTGAGCGACATTGTGGTGACGGTATTCTGGCTGGTGTGTGACGCGTACAGTGTGACGACGGGCGGCTGATGCGGCGGTGAGCGGCGGCTGTGTTTGGCGTGACTGGCTGGAAGGAAAGCGACTGGCTTGACCCCAGCGAGCGGCCTGGCTGACCGTGGCTGACTGTGTGGCGACGGCTGACGGCGGCCATGGCTGACGTGTACTGACGGCCACAGCCCTGACCTGACGGTGGGCGTGTGGTGGCGGCGGCGGTGATGGCTGGCCCGGCGGCGGCGGCGGCTGGCGGCCGGCCGGGCGGCGGGCTTTACGGCGGCGGCCCGTGACGTGGCGGCGGCGGTGGCCCTATTGACTATGCGGTGAATGACGCGTTGTTGACGGTGAGCGCGGTGGCGTGTTGTTGACCGTGGCGGCTGACGATGACGGCGGCTGACCGGCGTGTTGTTGTGCGGGCGGCGGTGACGGCGCGGCAGCCATTATTGACGCGCATGTGCCCCAGCGTATTGCAACGGCGTGTGTGTGTTGACGGGCGGCGTGACGTGACGTGGCGTATTTGTTGTTGACGGTGACCACGGTATTCGGTGAAACGACGGCGGTACCACGGCGGCGCGCTGGCGGCGGCGCGCTGGCTGCCAGCGCTGACGTGACGGCGTACGTACAGCGGCGGCGATGCTGGCGACGGTGACCTGACCAGCGTTGTATTGTTGACCTGGTGACCGGCTGATGACGTAGCGTACGGCGGCGGTGTTGTTGTTGGCGCGGCTGACGGTACGGCGGTGTTGACGTGGCGGCGGGTGATGACTGACGACTGTTGGTAGGCCACGGCAGGCGGTGCGGCATTGTGTGGTGTTGTTGTTGGTGACGGTATTGACATGCAGGCTGGGCGGCGGGCGGCGGCGGAGGAGGAGGGAGGAGGAGAGAGGGAGGAGGAGGGAGGGCGGCGGGCAGGCGGAGGAGGGAGGAGGAGGAGGAGGAGGAGAGGAGGGCGCGCGTGGCCGGCGCGTGGACGCCGTGTGGCGAAAGGCGGTGGTCGTTGGTGTTGATGGTGTGGCTGGTGGTGTGTGGTATGCGGTGACGTATGCGAT